GAGTTTCTTAAACAGTTCAAAAGCGTCCATTGCTGCGGCAGCAGCGTGGTTTGTAGGATTCACGTAGTGACTATCAACATCCGGGTCACGTCCAACCTCTGCTTCCTCTGCTGCCCCCTGGTGGCCATTACTTGTTCTTGTGGGGTTTTAACAACATATTTTATGTCCGCAGGGCTTGCTGTCTCTCTTTTATGTACTGTGTCAGATGATGGAGAACTACATTTTATCAAGCTCCTCATTTAATGGTTTTATTTTATTTCACTTGTTTTTACCTTAATAGTGATTTTTACCTGACTCTTGTTTTTTAGATATATATATATATATATATATATATATATATATATATATATATATATATATATATATATATACACACACACACGCATATACATACGTATACATAACTTTGTATTCTACCCGTCTTATTTTATACACATTCACCCTCTCTATAGTCAAATTCTATGAAATAATTTAGACTTCTTTTAAAATCAAATAACTATTTGCATATGTCTACTCCCCAAATTCTTCCTCAAAATATCTACTAAATTAATAATTATTCTTTTCCTTAATACATTCAAACCCTCTCCTCATATATCTTCTCTCACTTTCATATTTATGACATTCCAGTATAACATGTTCTATTGTTTCATATTTTCCACAGTAATCACATATGCCAGTAGTATGCTTTTGAATTTTGAAAACTGTATAATTAAGTCCTGTATGCCCAAATCTTAACCTCGTTATCACTATCACCTCCTTTCTATTTATTCTTTTTCCTAATATGTTCTGAGTTTTATAAAACCCTCTTTTTTTTCTTCATCCCACCTTTTTTGCCATTTTTCCATCAGTTTTTCTTTAATAATACTCTTTCCCTCAGATTTACTTGTTTTAATTGTTGGTTCTTGATTGTTGACTCTTGATTGTTTCTTAGTTTCTTGTTTGATTGACATTTAATTTCTTGACAGCCATTATTGTTTGCATTCATTGTAGATGGTTATGAAGAATGAGTATACAAAAGAAAATAGCAGATTTAAAAAAAAAAAAAAAAAAAAAAAAAAAAAAAACGCAATGTCATTAACACTTTCATATACTAGGACATGGTTATTAGAAGACTGATCCCGAATCCACTACTCATTCAGTCCCAAAGCCTTCAGTGACCAGGAGCATCTCTGAAAAAGGATTGTGAACAGACCAGATTCCCACCAGTGCAGAGCTTGCTAACAAATAGCAACAGGGATGTGTGAAGGTTTCTGCAGAGAGAGGCAGCAACTTTTGGCCCTGGCCTAGTCAAAAAAGAAATTTGTACCCCTGAAGAAAACATCCAAATCTTTTTTTTTTTTTTTGCTGCAATATAAAGTGCAATGCAAGGACTTATCCTATAAAGTCCTGTTTTCACATGTTGCATTTGTTTGTTGCAAACAGCTCAAAACTTAAATTGATATTCTGTAAGAAGAACAAGAATTAGACAGCATAAAATCTGTTTGGGAAATCTGGAAATCTGATTGGCCGGTCAAAAACACTTCAATGCTGCCATGAGGCCGGAGTCACATCAGCAAGGAAGCTGCAAGGTTTCTTCCCCTCTGAAGCTGCTTCACTTACAATCTTCCCCCAAACTGTCCTAATCAAATTATTCTCTAAAAGTTAGTTTGCTCAAAGAACAAGAGACATTAAAAGATGGCCAATATTATTTTCACCATTATAGGCTCTGTGTATAAAGGAAAAATAGAGAAGCATTTGGCTTAAGAATAAAAACATTTAAACTATAGTTTAAAGCAAAGGAACATCCAGATCTTAATCCAATAGTTAACCCATAGTTAACCCAAACAGGTTATGAAAGTCTTAAACTAATAGATGGGCAATAAAGACTTACTGTGCATAAACTGGATACACTTTACATTAAAACTAAATGTATGCTACATTACAAACATCTGACAAAAGCACACCAACATTATAGCAGTAAAGTCTAAGAAAATAAAACATTGTCTCCAAATTTTAGCCTTGATTACAAACCAGAACAGAATAAAACGGGTAATATTTAACCCATCAGAACGATGCATTCTGTGTAATGTTTGACCATTCCTGTCAATTATTGTAGACTCTTGATTTTCTTATTCGAATTTCATTGTATTCTACTTTAAATACTAAAATTGTGAGCAGCAACATGAAGTGATGGGTGGTATAACAAATTGTATGGATCAAGGTTTTGCATATCTGGCCTTTACCAATTTTAAAAGGCTTTAAATTCAGCCTCAGGTGCACAAAACACTCAGGTTATTGCACATTGCGATTAAATACACCCTGGCTGTTTCTATGTGATTTAAGAGGCACAGCAGGAAGCTGGTGCTGCAGATCAAATGTAGAGATCAGCCAGTTATCAGCAGTGCATAAAGAAAACAGGAGTTATGAGAGTTTACCGTTCAATTACTCTTTATAATTAAATATTTTGTATGTCCATCTAACGTCACCAGACCCAATACTGGTCTAATGATGATGACATGGTTTGTTGCAAGTAAATTTGTCAGTTATATTGAATAACTGCAATTAATCACATTGATGTCCAGATTTGATTTAGATTTACAAACTAATTATAGGTTTTCTTAAAATATAGTTTACCTTAACATAACTAATATATTGCCTAAAGCATTGGGTGGACAAATACACTTTGTTTATGCAAATGAATGTTTATTATTATAGGAGCAATAACAAAGATGACAATTATAAGAAATAATTTACAGAAAAATCTATAAAGGTATTCTCATGTATTTACTTCCACATAAGAGTTTTCCTCAGTGATGGGGAAAAGTTAAGACAACAGATTTTGTATGGCATTAAAATTAGGAAAACAAATATAGTACAATGGAAATGCAACAATAGGGAGTGTAAAATGGAACTAGGACTCATCCGATAAAGTGCTGTTATAATTTTTTGGGGGCTTTTTTAACGTTTTATTTGATGCAAAACTACAGAAACTACAGGTATGACTTTAGAGAGACATGATCAAGGTTTGGTTTTCCTGAGGAAGATTCATTAGGATCTTTTCAAAATTAAAAAACCTCAAAGTCTGCTTAACCTATGCACGCTTCTTTTTTTTTTTACATTAACAAACTTAAGCTGTTCAGAGGAAAACATATTTGAATGACAGATGTAACAGGCTGAACATAAGATCATTTCTCACATCTTTGTTGCTTCTGAATTCGTAATTTTTTGGTTTTTCATTTGTTCAAGGAAGTAGATTCAGTGGCAAATAACATACGGTTTCTGTCTAAAAGGTTAACTAGTCCAAGGATTGCAGTATTTCCCCCTTTCAGCCACTGCTGAAGGGCGAGCAAAGCTGGTCTGAGTGTCAAAGACGAGAGGTTGACAGGAGATGACAGTGTGGATCATGACATTTTAACTACCCGGTAATCTATAGAGCAGGCAAGGTCCATAATGTACGAAAGCATGTATGCATCGAAAAAAAACAATGTCATAAAAAAAAAAACTGCGTCATTGAACATTTATGTTAACTTTTTTTTTACCTGCAAGATTTGATCAGCTTTCAGTTACATTTCATCCTTGTGTCTCTAATCTCTATTGATGCCTTTTTTTGTCACACATGTGAGTCAAAGAGGAACATATATTACTTTTTCTAACCCTAGCTCAAACCTTTTTATTCCTAAATATTTTAAAGTCAATGAAACAAAAGTTTAAGAATTTGAGCCCTTATAGAAACCTTATTGTGACATAAACTATGATCACCTTTTTGATGCTGAGATATTGCTTCCATACAGTTTAAAATATTTTCAAAGTTGTTATCGTAAATCGACTGAACATTCAGTGTTTTTTGAAAAGAAAGGGAAATCTGTTTTAAAATTTCCCGGCATCAAGTCTAGTCCAACTCGGGATTTTATTTAAAAAAAGAAATGAAACCATTCACATTTTTCTTCCCATTTCACAATAAATTTAAATATGTGAAAGTCAAGGATGTTAAAGCTGAAGGGGTGTGAATACTTGTGCAAGGCATTGTGTCTTTTCACTAGGGACTGACACTTCATCCCAAGACTGCAGAAAACCTTCATCACAGTCTACTAACAACATCAACACCTCCAATTATAAATAATAGAGTTGGGCCTGTTTTTTTCAGTGCTTAATCCGGTTTCTCTGCTAGATATAGAAATATATAAAATCAGCTTTTATTGTGACTAACTGTGTGCTCTTTGGCATGAAAACTGGCTCAGAGTTCACCTGCCTGTTACCTTCCCAGAGCGAGCCACCCATGAAGCTAGTTAGCCGTTACCTTTTCAAACATAGAACTTATTTATAGATCAGCGCTTCTGTGTTCCTCTTGTATATCTGCTCCTGTCTCATTGAAGCCAATGACTTGATGCAGTCAGCTAGTTTTCCTTTAAGTAGAACTAATCAGTCTGCATGATGCGACTGAAGCGTCTCTAAGCTAAGATTACATGTTGTGAATTGGCGCAATATAAATAAACAGAACTGAAATGGTAGGTTACTGTATTGAAGGAAAGCCGTGTTACCTCCCCAGGAACTGAATGGTTTGTCAAGTAATCTTCTAAACAAACAGTTAGTTTTAGGGACCCTTCTTTAATACATAGCTTGTAACTATAGAGTTCATCAACTTTAAAAACTGGCATCAAGCAATTAAAGCCAGATTAATGAACCGTTTTATTTCTATGATCAGAAACTGACAGTTTCTACTTTATGATATGAACATTTTAATCTGTATTTTCCCAAGGCAGATCGTTTATTTTGCCACTCTGTCTCACCTCCTGTCTGATTTCTGAGATTCCTGTCAAAATGCTGCACAGGGTTGGACAGCCTGAGGCACAGCGATGGCGAGTCCTGAGAAATCTGTGTGCATCGTTAACATTAACATGTTCTAAAAGCTACAGACATGATCCTCTTAGTCAAAGTCAATGTAGTGTGGACCAACCAGATGGACGTCAGTATTATAACATGTGGTTCATGACTGATCTGCTCTTCCTTTCCTTTTTAATCCAGTTTGTCTGACTTGCAGTGAAATCAGATTATAAAAGCACATTTCTAAATTTCCTCACATATCCTTAACAGATCCTCCAGGAAACGAACCACGGCCTCCTTCTCCTCCGCCCCTCCCTCCTCTTCTGCCTTTAGGCTCTTCAGCCTGACGACCGTCTGCTGGAGTTGAACCCTTCTCTGCTGAGGGCCGTTATTTTCCTCCCCAGAGTTCCTCTCTTCTCCAGCTTCATCTGTTTTTCCTTCTTCTTCCTCCACTGTAAGATACTTGATTAAATGCTCTCTAACACCCCTGCCCTCCTCCCCAGCCAACGCCGCGCTGAGTCCAGGCATGTCCTGCAGCTCGCTGAGACTGAGCAGATGCAGCAGGGCCCCTGACAGCGTGTGTCGGAGGCAGGCGCTGTAGCGGTACTCCAGGAAGTTGACGGCATCTTCGCTGTTTTCGAGGGCCGTGGCCAGAGAGCGCCAGACGCAGCTGAAGCGCTTCGTGTCCCCATAGCAGCTCCGCTGCGCTGGGACTGCGAGAGCAGCAGCTGATTTGATGCGGACTTTGAAGTTTTTGCAGGAGGTGACCACGTGGCAGAGGGCAGAGAAGGCATCCTCAGACCACGGCGCTGTCTCTGTCAGGAAGACACACAAGTCCAACAAATAAAAAGAAGGAAATTCAGCACCGAACTACATTCATCCTGAAACATCTAAATGATTATGATTAACTTCACTTTAAACTCTAGAATGTAATGATAGTTATAAGAATATTTACCGAGCGGCAGGGCGGAATTTCTGAACGCATTTCCCAGTGCATAACAGGCGTTCCACCTGACTTTCATCGTAGCTTCTGATTGGACGGTTTTCACCAAAGCTCGAACTGCATCTTCCAAAGGACGCTGGAAAACAGACCGAGTCATCTGACCCTGACGCAGGAAGTGAAGCAGGTTTCCAAGTGCTCGCACTGCATTGCACTTCACCTGGAAGAAATGAGAAAAGGCAGACCAGGCGATGTTTAAAAAGCTAAATCTGGGGAGTTAATGTGCTCCTCTCTGGCATTAAAGACTTCCTTACCTTGTCTCTGTCTGCAGCTGCTCGATTTGCTGCCTGCAGCATCTTCAGCAGAAGCATGTCGGACAGTTCTTCCTGGAAATCTCCACCTAAATTCTCCCTAAAGACAGAGACCAGATACCAATGATGTATCCAATGGAGGTTAAACTTATACAGACTTAAACCTGTTACTAATTATCACTGTTAATAAGTTCAACGTTTTCTACCAGTCTTTACACATGATGTGACCCTTAAAACAGAAAAAAAACATATTGACCACTGTATTATAGATACATGGTAGTTAAATTAAGCTGGTTTGAGTCCCTGATCAGAGTTTTAATCCCAGTCCACAAACAATTAGTCCAGCTGAGATCACACGTTTCTAAAAGCTACATATTTTCCTTTTTTTATTCTGTTTTTGGGACAATCATCCTGTTTAAACATCCAAAAATTTCAGTTTTCATTTAAGAGGATGATAGAATTCCACAGCACCATGCTGCCAACACTATGCTCTACTGCCATACCAATTTAAGCTTAGCTTAAAGCCTCATTGTGGAATCCTCAAAACATATTACTTGTCTCTATGGCAAAAACCTCCATTATTTTCTTAATGCACTGGAACAAAAGAAAAAAATATTCCTGAGGGCTTCTGACTCCATGTTGACAGACATGACTTTCACTCTTGAAACGACCAACTTAGGAGACGCAATTTCAGTGAATGTTCATCTTTTGTAATGAACAAGGACCCTGGTGTCCCAGAAGTTTGTGGTTCCTCTCCTATTAAAGCCTGGTGGTGTTTTATTCATCTGAGGTGTAACATCAGGGCCGTGCAACAAACGCTGCAACTAATGATCATTTTGAAAATCGATAACTTTTTTTAATCGATTAATCGATTCATTAGCCTAAGGTTCTTTAAAGAAGATTTTTTTAAATGAAATTAAATCAGGTGAAACTAAAACTTTATGAGTTCTGTTTAGAGCAGAACTGACACATTTTTTTTAAAAATCTTAAATGCAAAATGTTTATATAATTTTTCTTACAGTTTTGATACAATTACTGCTCTAAATTGGTTGCTCTGTCAGCTAAAGGCATATTTTACTGTCTCTATGCTCCAGTTAACGATTGATTACTAAATTAGTTAACGATTATTTTGATATCAATTTATCAGGATAAATCTGATTAATTTTTCAGCCCTACATGCAACCCAATAAGCACTAAGGGTGGGCACTTCTTGCATCGTTTATCATTATCAGTTTCTAGTCATAGTAAGAACTTTAATTTATCGTCTAAATGCGTAATTAGAATGAATGATGATTAAAAGCTCCAGAAACAAATTCTCTTATTTTCTGTATTTTTTTTATGCAGTGGAACATTTAAAAACTGAAAGAATATGATTATATGCGGTTACTACAAGATGTTTAGTGGAATAAATAATTTTTTATTTAACTGGTGTCCCAAGGAAAACAAATTTGAGTATTAATTGTGATTGCTGTGGTAAGCAGTGAAATCCATACAGTTACCTAAGAAACACTGCAAAAAAGTACTTCTTTAAAAAGCTTCACTTTTATCGTCATCGCAATAATATTATCCAACCTCGTGATAATATTTTAAGAGCATATCACCCAGCCCTACTAAGCAGGTACAGGAAATGGCTGGATGGAAGGGGGCAGTCTTAGTCGCATAGGTTGAAAATCATGCAGTTTGTTATATTTGCAGTACAATGATCCTAAACATATATCAAATCTGGTTTTCTTCAAGCAAAGCAAATTAATATCTATTTTTGCAAACACCTCTTTTTATATAAAAAAAAAACTTTCAGACTATAATTAACAATCAATGTGTAAATAAATGAGTTATAAGGCTGACATGATAAATGGGGATTCATGTATTATGGAAATAATTGTTAATTTGGTAACTGTATCGTTAACTAGAGACTAAAGAATGTGAAACGCAGCACAAGCCAAAACTGTATAAAAAATACAATCATTTTCCAGTTAAGAAGGAGTGTCTTTGTCTATAAATATGCTCTTTAAAGAACGTTAAGTTTTAGCTTCATCTTGTTCTAGCTCTGTAAAATTAACAGTAAAAAAAAAAAAAATCTGCTATTAAGGACCTTTTCCCTCCTGATATTTAATGTGTTAACTGGAACAGAGACAGAGGGACAGAAATATGATGGAAGAACAGTGGCTGAAATTAGCTTTGGTTTTCAGAATTTTTAACAAAGCAATTAACAATGGAGACCAAGTGCAGATTCTTTAAAGAGAACATTGAAAACTTTGTTATCCTTTTGTCTGATAATGACATAACAAAAATGGTTCTTTATTTAGTGTTTTTCCGATAGGATCCCGTTTTGGATTTTGATAATGCATTTAGAACGTGAGCTAAAGCTTAAAATACAAATAGACACGATGTTGAAATCAACATGCAGTGAAGCAAACTACAGATAAAAACATCTTAATTTAAATGAAATCAATGAAAAAAAAAATGCTGCTTTTATTGGACTTTTCAATTTTAGAGAATAGAAGGGGCGTAAAAACATTTTTCAAAAAGGCTGTTTTCTTTTTCTAAACTGGAAAACAGTAAAAGAAAACTTCAGGCTTTTTGAAGACTGCACAGGGATCCAAACTCTCGCCTCTTTTAACTCGAGCTGTCTTACATGTTGATGATAAGGGTGTCTGTGAGGTTTCCCAAAGACCAGGCAGCCTTTGCACGGACGTTTGTAAATCGGTCATCGAGGGCAGCCAGGATGATGTTCGCAGTATCCGCCACAAACATCACATCCTGAGAGGAGAACTTGATGAGAGGAAATCTGGAGATGCTCTAAAAATCAAAGATTATAATCATCACTTTACTCACCTCTCTTAAACAAGGGAACAGGATGTAAACTCCCAAAGCCCTGACAGCTGCCGTCTTCACCAGATAGTTCTCAACGTAAGTCAGGCCCAGCAGCACAGTGATGCACATCAGCTGAGTTTTATCCTTTAAGCATCAGCAATAACAACCACATGAATATCAATTTTAGCTTAATAAATTAGAAGTTAAAGAAAAAAAAAACTGACAGGAAGCTGAGCAAAGGCCTGTGGCAGGATGGAGGCGAGCGTGTCGCAGGCGCTCGCCTGTAGCGTGGGATGTTGTTCATTTTGCAGCGCCGCGTTCAGCGGCCCGCTCAGCACATCCGACCAGAACGCCACCACCTGCAACCAGGAGCAAGCGTTGAATTAGGTCACTGTGCAGAGGTCTGAGAATAGAGGGCTCAACTGTTTGTTAAATTCAAAAAAGATTATTTTATAAAATCATGCCTACAACCACCTGGAAAAGCCATCCAAGCTAAAAGTCAAAGTCCTATATTCAGTTTCACTAAAGCTACTTTCACACTGCAGGCCTTGATGCCCAATTCTGATTTTTTGGGGGAAAAACAGCGTTGCTGTTCATATTTCCAAATAAATGCGACTTGTATGTGATTCTCCTGTGTGAACTGCAGTCATACAACGCAAGTGTCCCACATGCGCAGTAGAGGATGCAATGACGTCACAGGCCAGCGTGCTCCATGGATGATAGTGCCGACGCGCATCTAGCGGTCTTTTCCAACCATAAAAACTCAATCTTTTCAATATGTTTAAACATAAATACAGCTCTCCACATCATTATCCGCCATGGTTGTTGCTGTGTTTTGCTACGCTTCTGCGTGCCAAATAGTGACCTTTGTCGGGTATTAATGGCGTTCAGGTCGGATTAATCCGGCCTGGCCGTTCACACACAGGTCGCATTTGAAAAGATCAGATTCGTATCGGATTCAGGACCACATAGCCAAGTGGCCTGGGTTGGATTGCGTTGTTCAGACTGCCATGAAAAGATCAGATCTAGGTCACATATGGGAAAAAAAAAATCAGATTTGGGTCACTTCAGGCTGCAGTGTGAACGTAGCCAAAGATTCTTTCCAAGTTAGACGGAAATCACTGTTTAGGTTCACATAATCTCCCCATAGCCTTACATGGTGGTGGCAGACTCATTATGTGAGACAGAGACAGCAGAGCCTGAGCTGTTGATAGATGGATGAATGCTGCTAAATGCAGAGCGATAATGACCCGAGACTGGAGCAAAGGTTCTCACTTGATTTACAGGAATCCTGGAGCTTTCAGGAACATTATTCTCAGCTCTGTACTGCTGGATTATTCCTGCACCAAACTCCTCTAGCAGCTACAAAAAAATAAAAATAAAAAACAATGCTTTATCAATTTTCTAAACAATGCATGTTAAAGTGAAGTTTATAAATGCTTCCTCCGCATGGAAAGTGTTACATTTGCACTATGTAGCTGGATGGAGGGGTCCATCTCCCCGAGGCACCGAGTGCTCAGCTGCCCAATCTCATTCAGACTTGACTGAGCAAGAGGGAAATAACCTCGTACCAGGTGGGACAAGACCTGAGGACGCATTCAGAGTAAAATTAATAAGCATGAACCTGTAAGTGTTTGGAGCATTTTCCTTTTTCCTTACCTGCAGAGCTTCTAGACGGACCTGAGAGGGCTCTAAAGCAGGGCCCCCTCCAGCTCCCTCACTGTCTGATTGCTCCTCTCTGGGGTGAGTCACCAGAGATACGCACAGCTTCAGCAGCCATGGTGACGAGTTCTCCTCCTCCTTTGGTGTATGAGGGTGGGGGGAGTGAGTGCGAGAGGATGCTGCCGGCGTACGAGCAGGAGAGGAAGCTCCGTTCCTGTTTCTCCAGCTCAGAGCAGGTTCCTGTGGAGTGACAATACCGGAGGAACTGCCGCTGCTGAGACTTTCTGGTTGCTGGAGGAGAAGCTGTACTTCAGGGAGGGGGGCCTGAGCCGTTACTATGGCGCCATACAGTCTCAACACAGCCCCACGCACCGTCACATCTGAGGACACAGCATTACTGCAATCAGATGAACTTTAAGGAGCAAAAGAGATCATTCCAGGGCAGAGAGCGGTTACAGACCTCTGTGGCGCACATAAGGACGGATCTGCTTCCAGAGCAGGCTCAGCAGACCAGGTCTGAGGCGATGATAGGGAGCGTTGGCTACCAGGAACGCCAGGCACTGTCAGACAGGAGGAGATCACAATTTCTGTCACATTACCGTATTTTCGCGACTATAAGGCACACATAAACGTCTTTTTTTTCCCTCAAAATGTGTGGCACGCCTTATAGTGTTATCCTACCCATAAAAGGAAGAAGTCTTAAAAGAGGAAGTCTGAATTAAAAATATTTACAACTTACAAACATACAAAGCAGCAACATGAACTGCTAATTAAACTTCTCTTTTTTATTTTCAGTTACAGTAAATATATGAATATTTTATTCTAGAGAATGTTCAGCTTTTTGGTCATTTGACATTGCTGTGAGAATAAATTAAAGGCAAACTGAAGATGAATAGGGAAAGGTCGTGATAAATTCTCTGAACAGCACATTAACGCCACCTTCTGAATTATTTATCATGTTAAATTACAGCACATCTGTTCTAATAACATCATATTCAGCAGGCGTACAGTAATCAAAAACACTTATCTGCTAGACTGAGCACTCAGAGGAGAAAGAATGCATTATTTGTAGCTGGAGCAGATTTTTGTCAGAAAGGTCTGACGATATATATGGTAAGCCTTTAAAGGGGTATAGTCATTTCTAAGACTGCAGCTCCCTCTGGTTTCATTCCCATTTATTGTTGGCATCCTGTTGACTTATTACATTTGATTTATATGTTTTATACTTTGTTTTTGCTAGGTTTGTTAGTAAATTTAAGTGTTTTTGTATTAAACTTAAAAAGACCTCATGACCTCTAGTCATGAGGTCTTTTTAACAAATAAGCAATGGAGGCAGGCAACACTCAGTGGAGGACTGAAAAGAAATTAAAAAAATTAAAATCCAGTGTGCAAATCGCAAAAAGTATCGGATGTCAAGACACGAGTAGTGCTCAGTATGAGCCCTTGTGCTCGCTACAGCTAAACAATATAATGGATGCATAAGTAAGAACTGCTAGCCTATTGTCCCTCTAATTTTTCACATGTCACTTGACACATACACAAGCCCCGTGAGTACACTGAAGACCACTGTGAGCAGCATCAGATGTACAGACTGATGCCAAACTTGTGTGTACATACCTACACTATGATATATACATATCTACCTATATATCTATGAAAGTCCAGCATCCAGCAAGCTGAGATGCTATAAGAGCCCAAACGAAATGAAATTAAGATTAATGCATTCCCTTTTAATTTTTCTATTATTATTATAATATTTAATTTGGTATGGGAAGCTAAAGGTTCTCCATTTCTCTATATTATGTAACAAAATTCGCAGGGACTATTCAATCAGAAAATTGTCTGAATTAACGCTGATCCAATGGTCTGTCTCTTTAATTTTTGGTTTTTAGTTTTAAAACCAAGGATACAAGGATTCACAATGACAAAGAAAAAAATTATTAGTGTAACTGAGTTACAGTTTATCTCAAAATTTCTGCATAGATTTTCCTGTGTGCTGAGAAAGCATTAGCGTGCAGTTTAGAGGGAACATTGCCGCCAGCAGATGGCGATAGCTAACGATAATTATATCTGTTGGTCACGCCAAGAAAAATAAAACATTTTCTGGTTAAAAAAGGACTAAGTGAACACCGACTGGACAGACCCTTTATTAATGTTTCATTTTAAAATGATTATATGGTTTTGGTGGGGGATTTTAGACAGGACTAGGCACCTATAATAATATTTGTAGCTGTAATGCAACTGTGGGTATCTTTAAAAGACATTAAATTCTAAAGTCAACTTTTTCATCCTGGGAAGAATCATTATAAAATCCTTTGGAATATTGATTTGAATAGTGTGAGTATTATTCTGAGAGTCAAAACTCTTTTTCTAACTACAACAAACTGATTTACAAAAACCTCTTTTGGAGTGCCGTCTATGTATTAAATGATAAATGGAGTTTCCCACCTTTATGACCTGTGTGAGTGTTTGGGAGGACGTCTCAGCCAGCAGAGCCAGGCTGAGGCCGCGGTGCAGCTCTCTGATGGCAGCCGCCAGCAGGAAGGAGAAAGGGGTGTATGAGGTACGTGGTGACGCCGTATCTTCAGCCGCAGCCAGGAAATGCCGGGACCCATCCAATATGGCGGACAGCACCTGAAGGGCGCACAATCGTACCTAGAATAAGAAAGAAAACAAAGACAATTACAGGGATTCAACACCAAGTGTGATATACCGGTGAAAACAGGATCAAATGTTAGTGACCGCCTGTACCTTTGGTGAGGAGTCCTTTAGTATAATAGTGAGGAGAGTTAGAGATGGAGGTCCACCAGCAGGAGAGTCGGGGATGAAGGAGGACCAGTATCCATACAGGCTCCTCTTCTCAACAGATTTCACCACTGCTAGCATACAGTGCAGCGCTAACTGACGAACACGGCACTGGTAAACTCTAAAATGGCAAAGTGGGAGAGTCCAACATATTTAAAGAATAAAAAATGTTGAATGAGTTTATGTCAGAAAGCAAATAAAGAGATGAATGGATAGAGGAAAAGGAGGAATGGATGGACAGATGGAAAACCAGACCAGTTGGTGGAAAGATATTCAAAGGATGAATTGGACGTTAGTGTTACTAAAAAAAAAAAATAATAATAATAAATTACCCTTCGCTAGAAAGAGAAAAAAATAAAAAATAAAACATTCTTGTAAATAGAAAGGTCTCTTTGTACCTTAATTTGCTTTGTGCGTTTCCTTCAATGTCTGAAAAATCAGATTCAGAGCTGTTCATCCTCCAGGAAGGGTAGAGATCCAAAGAGGCTGGTTTGGGTAAAGCCTCCCCATCATCTCTGCCGCCGTTTCGTCTCCCTCTGGGAAGTTCAGACACCTCTTCTTTCTCTTCCTCCTCTCCATCCTCCGCTCTACTCTCCTCAGTTTGAGTCTTCTTTCCTTTTCCTTTAGATTTCCTCTTTTTTTTCTTGAAAAAGACAGATGCAAACACAATCTAATTAATGCAAATAAATGTTTAAAGTTAGCAAGGCCATTAAGAAATAAGGCTCCTCTTACTCCTGAAGCTTTTCCAGTCTCCACCGATGGATCTGAAGTTTTTAGTGGTTCTGCAGGCTTTGGTGGAGAGAGAGCTTCATACTGCGAAAGAGGCGCCGGGTAGAGCACAGCCGGCCATTCAACACTCAAACCAGGAGCTCCCTGGAACATGAGTCGCTATGCAAGGGACCAAAACGGATTAAAATTAACACACGCTTAATTTTGCAAGACATATTTATCAGGAAAATGACTTGATTTTCCACCTTCAGTGCAGCCAGTACAGATCCAAGCTCCTCTCCTGCTCCAAATTTCCACTTCCCACCCGACAGGCAGAACTGGAGTCCCTTCAGAGCTGCCTGGACAACCTTAATAGACAGCAAAACGAGCTTTAGCTTTGGTTAAATTTGCATTTTTAGCAAGTGATCTGTCGATGTAGAGGGTACCATGCAGTAGAAGAGATCATCAGTGTTGGGAGGTTTGGGCGAATGAAGTGTCTTAAGGAAAAGTTGGAAACAAACACCTCTGTACTGATCGTCCAAAGGTGGCTGACCAGGAATCCTGCAGAAAAAAAAAACATCCAGCCAACAAACAAAATAAAAACATGGCAAAAACTTTACGAAATAATAAACATCCAAATAAACAAATCCTGCATCCAACTATTCGGTACAGGGTTGTGCTGCTGGGAGTAGTGTACTGGTTGGCTTGATGCAAAGACACATGTCGTTACAGCCCTACTATATCATTATTTAGATCGTGCATAAAGATGCTTCCACCACCATGATTAAGCATGGGAATTCTATCGTTATGAACGCAAATTATAATACACACAAACTAACTGCTAGGTGACTTAAAAAGGTTCGTGATTGCACAGGATTTAATTTAAAGCGTAAGGAGTCTGAATAAAAAATGCTTCATTGTAATAAGCTTTAATTTTTGTTTGGTTTAGAAAACAACCCATTAAAAATGGGTGCAGTATTATATGAGGTATGAAAGATTTCCTTCTAAGGAAGCCTACCTGAGGCAGATGTTGGCCATGCAGGTCAGGGCAACATGACGCAACTCAATATTGGGCTGAGACGGAGAACTGTACTGCATAATGACGCCATCATCACAAAGCAAGTCACTGATGAGCTGCGAAGGAGAAAAATATTCAATGTGACAGAAAGGTGACCAATGTTGTTCCACTTTAACAAGTCATCTGATTAGAACAAATACTAAAACTTAAGACTCATCGATGTATTTATAAAGGTCAGCCCTTATAACAGACACCGTTTAAAGTTTATACGAGAATAGATTAAGGTTAGTATATATATATATATATATATATATATATATATATATATATATAATTTTTAAAACAAAATAAAACAGCAACAGGATCTACCTGATGGCACTGAGATCCATTCCCATACACTACTGTGGAAAGTGCCAGCAGGACATCAGAGTGGGTCCAGGTACTGCATTGCTTCATGGCATTGGCGGTGTAGTTTACCAGAACGTCCAGCGTCTGTTCATCCATTATTACCTTGAAAACATTCAACCAGAACAAAGATGGGTTCATATAGTGATGCGGCAGCATTGTTACTGCTCACCAATGGTTAAAATATACATATAGTCAAATACAAGGAATGTTTGGAAAAAAACCTGTTGAAAGGATAAAAAAAAGACTTGATCACCGGATGGATGATTGTCTTCTAGTAGAAAAATAACCTTAAACACCCAGAGTTACTACAGAAAGGTTTAGATTATTGAAAAGTGATGCCTAAAGATGCTCAGAACTGGTGAAGACACACAACAAATATCTTAAAAATATTCTTTTTTTTCCCATAATTCTAAAGAGACACTTATTATAGATCAGTGTTTCTCAAACCTTGACTTGTGTAGCCCTTTGGCCATTCTGTCTCACCATGAGTCCCCCTCCAGTCTTGTTCACTATCCAAAAGTGGAACTTACAGTAATTAATTATAAAATACAAATTATTTTACTTAATCTTTTAACTTAAGCATTTTATTTTTAGGCATTTTATTCTTTCCATCTCAAATAAAATAAAACATAAATATGATGCCTGGAAGTTAGTAGGTAATTAAAATAAATACAAAATAAAACCATACTATAAATCTGCCTTTATAAAACTGGAGCTCCCCTGGGTAACTCCCTTATAATCACATTTAAACTTGATGAATTTGGAACAAAATACAGAACGAAACTTATAGTTAGACTGACTGAGTTTTATTTTGTTTTTATCTAGACACCTGAGCTGCTTTGATGAGCTCTGATACACCTGTGTAATAAACAGCTGTTCTCTACATTCAGTCTGTTCCTCTGCTTGGTTTTGATGTTTGTCGAAGCTGTTGGTGAACTCAAACATATAACAAAAAATTACTGTTTGGTTGGTAAAAACTTGTTTTATTTTTCAATAAAACAGAAGGAAATCAATCCCAGCCTTATTTTGTTCCCAAGGAAATAAAATATTTTCATGTACCCCTTGCAATGCATTCAGGGACCACTAGGGTTTTTTTTTTCATTTATTAAAAATGTATTTATTAAAAATACTTTCCACAATATATAAATTTCTTGTGAATATTTTTGGAAATTATTTTGACAATTTTCATTTTACTATTATGTGTATTTATATTTTTATTTAATTATTTTGAGGTCTAATCAACACAAGTTCACAGAAGTTATGTTGTCATGGCAACATCCAGGAAGCTAGTGCGTGGTATCCCTCTCGTGGTATGTGAAACAACTTTTTTGTTAAGTATATAATTCCACATGTGTTAATATTAATAGTTTTTATGCCTTCAGTGTGAATCTACAAATTTCATAGTCATGAAAACAAAGAAAACTCTTTGAATGAGAAGGTGTGTCCAACCTTTTGGTCTGCACTGCATATGGACATAAGATCAGAGTTTTCTGTATCTGGTTGAAATGTCTCTGTAAAGTGCTTTAAGATTGTGATTGAGATCCTGAGCTAACTTTATACCTATGCTGCTATTGGCTTAGACTTCTGGAGGACATAGGGACCCCTATTTTATAGTTTTGCTTCATTCTATCTCTATCCATCCACTCTGCAGAATCTGTTAGTTTAATCCCTCTTAAAATTATGCTCTCACTGCCTTTTTTCATAGTAGCTTCTCCTCATTGGTTCCTGTTTGGCTGTGGCAGCTGCAATCAACAACTTTGTTTATAGATGTTGGAGATCAGCCTGTTTTCCAGTGTAGTCCTGTTTCTCTGACTGTGACTGGCTGGATGTGCTCTCTTCATCCTCTGACATGGGAACTGGCTCGGATATTGTCTGCCTAGCTGTGGGTTTCCTGGACGGGGCCACCTTTTACAGCTGCTTTTTGTATCTCTGCTTCTGTCTCCTTGAACCCCAGTCGGCCTCTGCAGATGCCCGCTCACACTAAGCCTGGTTCTGCTGGAGGCTTCTTCCTGTTAAAAGGGAGTTTTTTTTCTCTCCACTGTCGCTACAAGCATGCTTAGTGTGAGGGATTGCATCCGAGTCAATAAGTCGATGCAATCAACTGGTTTTCCTTAGATAGGAAACTTTGAATCAATTTGACTGTCATATCTGGTGAATTGTAAAGTGCCTTGAGACGCCATTTTAGTTGGAAAAGGTGTAGTGTAAACAACCGCAGCATAGCTAAACGAAGGACTAAAGGCCTGTTTACATAGCAGCCTGTCCAAGATAAGTCATTACAGTTAACATAAGCCTGAAAACAGGGGCGGATTTAGGAAAATCGGTCTCCGCCAGTCACGTGACATTTGTTGCTAAGACGCCATTTTAAGTGGAAAAGGCATAGTGTACCGCGCCCGAGGTAAACAATTGACGTCACTTGGCGGAGACCGTACTGAATTTAATATTCATAAGCTAGACTTGAGGTTTCCAGGCTTAAAACGAGTCTTTGGTTCTCTTTATATACCAGACAATGAACTTCAGCCCTGTTTGTTGTTCATTCTTTTTTTTCTGTGTCCCAATGAAAAACACTGGCCCCACCCTAATAAACTTGCTCTAGAACCACAACAGCATAAATAACCACTGTTCAATGCATTTATTATGTATATTAAGCAGAACCATTAATGATTAATCATGACAGCATGTATTTTTTTTTTTGTGTAGCTTTATTATTAGGGGACCAAAACATCTCAACAATGCCCCTAACGACCCACTTTCAGAGGCATAGACCAGTATCAGGTATTGCAGGATAACAAAGACCTCAGCAACTCCCCATTACTAAGGGGTGGACCTGTTCTTCCGGATCAATTTGCATGTTTTCTAAGCCAACACAAGGCTTTGTTTTTGGTCCAAACTATAAAGCTTTGAACTCAATGCTAATTCTGACATTTTTAATTGAAAAAGCTTGTGATCCGTTCCAGTGGATTGTTGTTGTTTTTTGGTTTGTTTTTTTGTACTTTTTTGGAATTTATTAGTAGGGGCTTCATCATTTGTGAAATACACAGTGCTCTTTCCTGTTCCTGTTGATCCAGTGTGGTTAATATAGATTGAACTGTTTCCACTGCACCCTCCTGGTTCTTACCTTCAGCTGGTTCAGGAGGTGATGGACTAGTTGGCAGAATTTGACAACTAAATGTTCTTGGTTTAGAGGGACTAGACCGCTGGCGTGCTTCAGTAGGATGCAAACATCCTGGGAAAAGAAATGGAAATTATCAGACCAAGCAGGAAAGCCAGAATAACAGAAGCCCGGCTGCAGGTGGACAAGGTGTTACCTCTGGTCTGATGGTGATGGGGAGCTCACAGCTCCTGTTATAATTCTCTGAAAGCAGCTGGTCAAACAGCTGGTTGAGCTCCTCTCTCAGCTGCCCGCTGTCTGCCCGTAAGGATCGGAGTTTAGCGGCGCAGCGAGAAAACTGTTTCTCTGCCTCCGACAGAGAGTCTGGCTGTGGGGCATCCACACCTCTGGGATGGAACGGGGGGGCCTCGGCGGACAGAGCCATGGAGGTGAAAGAAGAGACGGCAGAACGGCTGAAAGCCGGTGCCACCGCGCCTACGGAAGCCGACATGTTTCTTCTTCTTCTACTGTTTAGTGGCGACTGGCGAGAAACACCGCCACCTTCTGGATAGAAGAGTGAATCAGAATTTAAAACTGACCTACATTCTATAGTATAAACCTGCTTTCCTTAAAAACGAAAAAATATACCTGTCATCTTTGTTTGTATTTGTATATTATTAAGTCATGTGTGTCCCGGTCTCCTTATAATATCCTCCTCCATTCTCTCTTTACTTGTTTTTCTTATCAGAATGACATTTTGAATTCTGTACAAATGTCTCCCTTTACATGATCTGTCCCATTCTTCCTTCCAAATCTTCACTGGCCACTTTTTTTTTCACTATATATAAAATTTCTGCTTTACTGTACCTGATGGTAATTTCCACTTGGGTTTTCTGTGCTGCTTTTTTAGCATATAAGTCATGGCAGCTCATGCCCCTTCACTCCTATGGAGGATTTAAATTATATTTATATCATCAAGAGAATGCCAAGAGTGTGCGAAGCAGTAAGTTAAGCAAAAGGTGTCTACTTTGAAGAACCTAAAATATAAGACACATTTCCAGTTGTTTCCCACTTTTTTGTTAAGTATATAATTCCTTATGTTAATTTATAGTTTTGATGCCTGCAGTGTGAATCTACAATTTAACAATTTTCATAGTCATAAAATATGTTTATATATAGTATAAAATTATACTGAATTAAATTGGGTACCCCTGCCGCCTTGCAGCAAACACATCTGGGTTAGATTCCCAACTCTTTCTGCATGGAGTTTGCATGTTCTCCCTGAGCATGTGTGGGTTCTCTCCGGGTACTCCGGCTTCCTCCCACAGTCTAGAAACACGACTGTTAGGTTAAATGGTTTCTCTATATTGTCCTTAGGTGTGTGTGTGTGTGTGTGTGTGTGTGTGTGTGTGTGAAAGTTGTTTATCCTGTTCCTCTGTGTTGCCCTGCGACGGAGTGGCAACCTGTCCAGGCTGTACCCCTCCTCTCGCCCGTAGACAGCTGGAGATAGGCACCAGCACCCCTCGCGACCCCACTTGGGATAAGCCTGACAGAAAATGGATGGATGGATATACTAAGTTAATTTCCTTAACACTAGTTAGAGCACTGTTAGAATCTGAACAAACAATAACTGAGTCAGGTTTTGCTTCTTCAACCCAAAGTAGTACAAGCATTAATGCCACTAGCTCTCCTGTGTAAACAGACAAATTATCACTAACTCTATGACTTGATATGATATTTAGATCTGGAATAACGAAAGTGACTCCTGTACTCTTCAACTGAATTTTTGACTGATTATACAGAGTCTTTGTCTGTATTGTTTTTCTAAATGCCAGAGGTAGATAATCCAGATCCAGTAAGTAAAACTCCTGCATGTTTTCCTCCATCTTGTTCAGTTAACCAAGTTAGACCCTCATGTTATTTGTCTACATTGTGGGGCTAGAAATTGCATTTGGTTGGAAGTAACCTCCTAAAAGCCATTTTACTTTCTGGACTTGGATTATCCACCTCTGCCAGTAACCACTACTACCAGTGTTTCCTTTCTGCTCTTTAGCTGCTTCATCCGGGACTGCTTCGTGTGGGGCAGCACTCCCATTTAGAGAGTCCCAGACTCCAACCCCCCCACAGACACCTCCAAAAAAGTCAAAGTCAAAAAGCCTTTATTGTCATTATATTCTGTGACAGATACAATGAGATTTGGGACTTCCATAACAGCTACCGTGAAATAAAATAAAAATATATAAAAAAATATATAGATATATTAAAAGGAAAGGAAATGTAAACAGTTACAAAAAATATATATAGATATATTAAAGGAAATGTAAACAGTGAAAAGGAAATGTAAACAGTGAAAAGGAAATGTAAAACAGTACTGGCACAGATTGTGGGGGGGGGGGGGGGGGGTAGTGCAAAACAGGTGTAAAGTGACCGACAGTGCAGGTCGGAGTTGAGGGGGGGCAATGGCTTGGGGAATAATGCAACCAGGTGAAAAGTGTCCGTCAGTGCAGGTCGGAGTTGAGGGCGGCAATGGCTCTGGGGAAGAAACTGTTCTTGAGTCTGTTTGTCCTGATCCTCATTTGCCTGTAGCGCCTTCCAGAGGGCAACAGGTCAAACAGGGTGGAGCCAGGGTGGGAGCTGTCCTTGGAGATGGCCCTGGCTCTGCTGAGGCACCGGGTGGAGTAAATGTCTGCCAGGGAGGGGAGAGGGCGACCGATAATCCTCTGCGCCGCCTTTATCACCCTCTGCAGCCTCTCCCTGTCGGCAGCGGTGGAGCTGCCGAACCATACTATGATGCAGTAGGTCAGCAAGCTCTCGATGGAGGAGCGATAGAAGGCCAGCAGCAGATCAGAGTTGAGGTTATACCTTCTGAGGATTCTCAGGAAGTGTAACCTTTGCCGGGCCTTCTTGATGATGGTGGTGATGTTCTCTGACCAGGTGATGCGGTCAGAGATGTGGACGCCGAGGTATTTGACGCTGTGAACCCTCTCCACCTGCTCGCCGTTGATGAAGAGGGGAGCTGGCTCAGGGCTGTGCCTCCTGAAGTCTATGATGAGCTCGTTGGTTTTCTTGGTGTTCAGAGTCAGATTGTTCTCTGAGCACCAATCAGCCAGCTTCAGGACCTCCTCTCTGTAGGCGGCCTCGTCGCCCCTGGAGATGAGACCGACCACAGCGGTATCGTCGGCGTACTTGATGATCCGGTTGTGGTTGTGGATCGGTCTGCAATCGTGGGTGTAGAGGCAGAAGAGGAGGGGGCTCAGCACACAGCCCTGTGGGGAGCCGATGCTCAGCTCCACCAGCTCAGCTGGGAGAAGCCAAAGGAACTCCCAGGCCAGCAGTGAGACATATTCCCTCCAGCATGTCCTGGGTCATCCCCTGGGCCTCCTTCCTGTAGGACATACCTGGAACACTTCTCCAGGTAGTAGGCTATACAGGATTTCATGACCAAAGGTGATGGTGAGAATGCAGACTGACGGGTAAATCAAGAGTTTTGCCTTTTCACTCAGTTCCCTCTACACCGCAACAGACTGCGCAGCGTCCGCGCTATAGCAGCCGCCGCATCAGTCCATCTATGGATCTCCTACTCCATTCTCATCTCACTTCTCAACAAGAGCCCAAGATAAGACTTAATTCCTTAATAGAGACAGAAATTCTGCTCCAACCTAAATGGGAAAATCCATCTTTTCCAGTCAAGAACCATAGCCTCAGATTTGGAGGAGCTAATTCTCATCCCGGCAGATTCACACATGGCTGTGAACCACTCCAGTGCATGCTGTAGGTCTTAGCAGGAGATAACAAGCAGAACTATGGAACTGAAAGAGGACATCATCAGAAGGTGGAAGGAATATTTCATCCGGCTCACACGCCTTCCATGGTGGAAGAAGAGACGGGGTACTTGTGGCCAGATTCCTTAATTTCTCAGGCTAAAGGCAGTGAGGTGGTCAAAAACACAGTGGCAAGGCTTTGGTGGGGGGCAGTACCCCTGGATTGTCAGATAGGGGTGGTGGTTCCCCTGCATAAGGAGGGGGAATGTTCCAGCTATACATCTCAGTCTCCCTGATAAGGCCTATGCCAGGGTGCTGGAGATGAGAATCAGGCTGGTGGTTCGGCTTCAGGAAGAGCCGTGTTGTTGTCCTCCTGGAACACTCTGCAGGGTCCCTGAGGGTTAGTTGGAGTTTGCCCAAACAGACCGCATCTACTTTGTGGACCTGGAGAAGGCATTGGACCAAGTCCCTCAAGGTGCCTTGTTTGAGGCGGTTTAGGATTAAAACCAGTTCTAATTTAAATATGTTTTTTAAAAATAGCAAAACGAATTGAATGCATGCATATTTCTGATTCCAGTAAATGACAAGAAGGAAAAAAATATGCATCTATTCCATTTGATCATTTCATATGTGATTTGACATTTGACTTAATATCTGGGCCAACCAATAACCATCTGAAGTGACTATTATAGGTTATATTTTCTATGTAATAATTTCTAACCTTAGATGAAAATTCTCCAAAGTTATTTGTGAATTCACAACGACCTCATTGTAATACGTTTTCACAGAACAGGGGAAACAAAGTGAATTGTTACAGTTTTCATCCAACACTATACTCCTTATAGACTATATACGTTTTGAGTATCATATATTCATCATTCACCTTGACTGTTGCAGATGTAAGAGTAGTGAGCATACCTATTTTAAAACAAAACAAAATAAAATTGACTTTAGAAATTGAACTACAAAGATATTTTCCCTATTAAAGATGAAAAATTATCGTTTACCTTTAATTTAGACAGCATGGATGTGTAAATGCATTTATTAGCAAGGTCTTGATTTGGAAATACAGACATTATGCTCATTTGTGTTCCTGATAGAGTGTAGATGGGCTGTAGGATTTTGGCACCTTTCCTCTTTTGGCCACTCTGTGCAAATTGGTCCCCCCCTAGCTGTCCCTGGGACCTAAATACAATCTACATTATGCCTCATGGTGTTTAAAGATGCTTTCAAGCCAATTAGCTGAAATTTCCAAAGAATGATTTATGTAAAATCTAAGATAAAAACCTCCAAGAAATATTTATCCATAATGAGAATAGTCTCATGGAGCCACTTTTGTGTTACATATATCCGTTCCTAGTGAACTTTTCAATTCAAGCCCTACCACAAACAAATTTACCTCTTTTTTTTTTTAAAAAAAAAGCTCCCAAAACATGAGTCAATTTGTTTTATAGAAAAGTTGAAAACATTGCAACTGATAGTTTGAAATAAATTAGAAACCCATTTTGGTGAGAACTACTTCACCTTTAGTCCCATCAGTAAGAAATATGGCATAATACTTCACGCAAAAAAAAAAGGTTGAAAAAACGGACATCGTTTGAACAATTTAATGGTCAAAGTTGGTTTGTGCTCAACATTTCTTAATGTGTGGATAGAATCAATGCCAGGGAACCCCAATTTTTTCCTTTTTCTTTTTAAGATATACAGCAACATTTGGATCTTCACAGGCATAACCAGGAATTGTAAAAGCATGTAGAAACTTCTTCAGCT